GTCTAAAGTAGGCAAATAGAGACTTTCATGATAAAAACGAACTTCACAGAAGCAACAAAAACTGGATGATGGATTCATCAAATGCCACCAGTTCAGAAAATACATCTGGTATTCTTATATAAAATATAATAGAGACATTTCCTAAGAGCTCATTCGTTAACATTAATTACATGTCAAGAAGTGACAGTGGAAATTATCCTGAAGTGTTTATTGATCGTGGCTGATGATGATTTTGATGGCGCAGTGGGTAGAGATGTCGCTTCACAGCAAGAAGGTCTCTAGTTTGAGCCTCAGCTGGGTCAGTTGGCATTTCTGTGTGGAGTTTGCATGTTCTCACAGACTGGTGTGTGTTTCCTCCGGGAGCTCCAGGTTTCCCTGACAGTCCAAATACATGCGATTTAGGGGAATTGGGTAAGCTAAATTGGCATAGTGTAGGTGTGTGTGTGTGGATGGGGAGTGTATAGGTGTTTCCCAGTGATGGGTTGCAGCTGGATGGGCATCCGCTGCATAAAACATATGCTGGATAACTTGGTGGTTCATTCCGCTGTGGTGACCCTGGATTTATAAAGGGGCTAAGCTGAAAATAAAATAAAAATGTTGATTTTAATATTTTTATAACCATTCATTCATTTTCCTTCAGCTTAGTCCCTTTATTTATCATGGGTGTCCACAGTGGAATGAACCGCCAACTCTTCCAGCAAATGTTTTTACGCAGCGGATGTGTTTGTACTATGGGGGAAACCGGAGCACCCAGAGGAAACCAACGCCAACACAGGGAGAGCATGCAAACTCCATATAGAGATGCCAACTGGCCTAGTCGGGACTCGAACCAGCGACTTTCTTGCTGTGAGGATTTTTAATGACTAACATGAAATAACATAATTTTGCTTTGAGAGAATAAATAAACATCATGCTAAATCTCAATATTACTCATTGTTCATGCATTAAGGTTAACTAATGAGCCCTTATTGAAAGTGGTAGCTATGTCATTAACATATGTCTGAATTACAGTAAATACCACGGTGCATGAATTTCATGGTATTGCCACAGTATGAACTGTATTTCACCTCAGAACAAGAAATATGTTTATAAATATTACTATTCAATAAGAATTATTATTATATTATATTATGAATTATTTTATTTGACATCATTCATAATATATCATCGAGTTTTGAGCACATTTTCCCACAAAATTTTGTTATTGCAAATAATAATAATAAAAAAAACAACATTCCGTTGGCTGATTTAAAGGGCACCTATTTTACCCTTTTTTCCAGATTTATTAAGTCTTTTGTGTGTCCAGAATGTGTCTAAAGTTTCAGCTTAAAATCCCCCATGAGATTATTTATCATAGCTTTCAGAACATTGAGGTTTTCTGCTTGTATTTGTTGCCTGTGCCTTTAAGGCTGGTTCTCCCCGCCCACTGTTCCCACATGCCTGTCAGAGTGTGCCTCAATCTGCACCTCGGCTGCGTCAGATAAACAGCACACTGACAGACGTAAAGGAAGCAGATCTCAGATAACGTTTGTGAGGAACACTACAGTAAGAACTTTCCCAATGATTATTTGATGTATTTGTTGTGGAGTTAATTCAAGCCTTTCTGCAATGATGAGTCACACAATTACGTTACACAGACACACAGCTCGTGCATTTAACTTTGCACTGTTTTTGCAGGGCAAATGTGACAGGATACATGTTTATATCCACTGCTGTATGGGTATCTGTTATATTAATGTACAAAATAACCTGATTTAACGTCCACAAACCGGGATTGAAGCGTCTTTTATAGTTGTTCTGACATGCGGCTGTGCTGATGAAGTACAGCTGAAGTAAGTCGTTGTCTTTATTACACACACATGCTCTGTTTTAAAGACGATTTAAACTATATGATACGATATGATTATATGAGTTACTATGGAGGCATGTTAATACGTGGCTGTCAAACAATTCAGTGGATGGGGAAACCACATTCCTACGTCTCGTTGCAGTGGGTCTCAAAATGATAGGGTTTTGGATCCTATTTTAACATCAGGATTTAAAAAAAACAAACAGACTTATTGTGTTTTACATCACTCCAATAGTGGAATTACCAACTTATTTTACACGTGACGTCAAACGAGTTCAACCGCGCATACCGGTTGCAAAAGCAAACATTTCATGTTGTACCATACCATACACCATCTACCCACACTGCTTCTATTGCCAACCGCAGACGTTTTTGGCTAACAGCCAACAGAAGTGCTGAATGAAGCAGGCCCGGATTGGCCAATCGGGAGGACTGGGAGAGTTCCCGGTGGGCCGGTCCGTTTTTTGGCCGCGAGGGCCGGTGTTTCTAGCTGCTTGCACTCTCAGCAGTCGCACTTTTTTAAATTAATTTGACCATAGACTCACTTATTTTATTCATTATTTTGCCGCAGCTCCGCTCTTCTTATTTATTGTCTCGCAGCCCCATGAGAAAAATGCAGCCTGCAGGGTAATGATGATGTAATTAATATTCCGGCCACATAATTGTAACAGTGCCATTGTGGTCATCACGTTGCATTACAACGGCGACGATCTGTGTTCGATCCTCGCCTGAGTTACACTTTTTTTTTTTCATTTTTATCGTTAAGACATATATCACTGTTAGGGTTGTTGAACATTTAAAGTTCTAAAGCAGCTGTTTTCTTGAAAAAGACCTGATAGTGTAATTAGAAACTGAATTGGAAATGACCTTATTTTAATATAGTCAGTCGTGAACTGAGGTGGGCCGGTCTGCTTAACTCCAGGGCTGAAAAGGAGTCCTACTCCGGCCTTGGAATGGAGTGATTGGAAATGCTGGACTCTGCAGTTCTCAGTTTATATCAGGTAAGTTGACGCTATGCTGAATCAGACACATTACTGGTTTTTGATTGCAGCAATGATTTCAGCAAAATATGGAGAATTAAACTGCGGACACTAAATGCTTAGAATGAAATGTAAACATGTGCGTTCACATTCCCTGCCGTACATGTGCAGTTCACTGTCAGAATGCAGTTGTTCTGCTAGTTCAGGGGTTGCCAAACTTTTCAGGCCACGACCCTCAAAATGACAATGCCAGTGAGTCGCGACCCCCAATATATTCTGAGGTGGTTATAAATACAGAAACCTTGCATGCAATGGCGCACACACACCAATGGACCCAAGTCTATTCTTCTTTTAATTTTTTTAATGTATGAGAGCTGTAAATGGGCCACAAAGTTTTACCAGGTGTTATGAAATCTGCTGCATCTGACACTATTGCTGTGTCTTTATTATAATGTAATTACCACAGGGGTTGCAATCCAATAGAAGTAGTAACTATAAGCTACTATAGTAACTATATGGTATAAACAACTATTCTTTCTCTTCAGTATAGTTATGGATAAAATATGGTAATTCTTATGGTTTAATAAAAATAGGAAATCACCAGGCGACCCCCCTTCATTGTCCGACGACCCCTCGGGGGGTCCCGACCCCCACTTTGAGAACCATTGTGCTAGTTGATGATTAATTACTCGGACATTGTACAGCTCAGTCTTTTTTCCTTGTCTTTGGCTTGGCAGAACCTCGGTTTTTAGCACTACATAGTTTTGAATCTGGTAATCATGGAGCATTATTCCTGCACATCACCACACAGAACTAAGTTGTAGACATCCAAAGACTTGTAGGCCTTTAACTTCTCATGTTAAATCACTTGGAGTTTCAATGAGATTGTATATTTGCGGCTGGATGCTTGGTCATATTGTCTTATCCAATATCCATTGGGAGGGTGCTATCGCAAACGGACCTGTCAGATGAACGCCGCTCACTTTAACGTTAATTTTCTTTGCTTATCACTGGGTGACGAGCTGTTATCATACGCTAAAAGCATTATGTAAATAATATATATATAATATGTAATCAATATAACTTATCTCTAATACAACAACAAACTCTGTACCGTTTCTTTCCCTCGCTGTAAATGCTAGCGCTCCTGTTTTTTTCCTGCAACCTTGTTGCGCGCGCATCCTGAATGTTTACAAACTGCTAAATCACCAATATGACTGTGGCCACACTATACCAACACACACATACTTTACCCACACACATTTCATCATAGGTGCCCTTTAAACAATGTGGCTGATTATGAAAACTATGGAAATTTTGGGAAAATGTGCTAGCTGTAATTTAAATACATATTTAATAGCTAATTTGATGGTGAAATGCAGCTATTATCATCACATTTCTGCTGTCTCTCAGATCCAGAACATGAGTTGATTCCTCATTAGTGTTGATGATGTTTGGGCGATGATATAACAGCATCTTATATCAGCGTTCAACACACACACAGTGATGGAGTTCAGTCTCTGACCTCAATGCAGCTTCAAGACAACCACTGATCCCCAGCTCAAACTCTGTGCGTGCGTGTGTGTGTGTGTTTGTTTGGGTGTGTGTGTGTGTGTTTGTTTGTTTGTGAAAGTGTCAGTCTGTCTCTGTATGTGTTTGTCTGTGTATGAATATGTATGTGCTTGTGTTTGATAGAGCATGTCTATTAGTGAGTGTGTATCTGTCTGCCTGCCTGTGTGTGTGTGTGTGTCTATTTGTTTGCAGGTGTTTGTCTTTGTATAAATATGTGTGTGTGTACGGGTGTATGCATCCATGCATGTGTCTGTGAGAGTGTGTGTATGAGTATGTGTGTGCAAAAGAAAGATTGTGTGTGTTTGTATGAGTATGTATATGTGTGAGGGTTTGTGTCAGTGTGTGTGTTTGTATATTAATATGTCTGTGTGTGTATGAATATGTGTGTGTCTAAGTTTGTGTTTGTGTATAAGTGTATGCATCCATGCGTGTGTCTGTGAGAGTGTATGTGTGCGTGTGTGGGTTTGAGTATGTTTGTGCAAAAGGGAGAGAGTGTGTGTTTGTGTATGAATATGTGTTTGTGTGTATGAGTATGTATGTGTGTAAGTGTGTATGTGGTCTTTGAAAATGTGTGTGTGTGTGTCTCTGTTTGTGGGTGTTTGTCTTTGTATGAATATGTGTGTGTGTATGAGTGTATGCATCTATGTGTGTGTCTGTGAGAGAGTGTGTATGAGTATGTGTAAGATTGTTGTGTGCTCAGACGGGTGGCTCTTCACAGATGGTGGGCAGGTTTGTCGTGGCAGGTGAGTTGTGTGTTTCTCCTCTGACGCTGATGCTGGAGACGGACCAGACGTCGCTCAGCTCTGCACACACAGATGAGGGTCAGACGGGCACCGAGAACACATGCACATGCAGAGGGGCCAGAGAGAGAGACGGACCCTCCGAGAACAGAGGGTTCCAGCGGACGCCCTGGATCTCTGCTGCTTCTACACACACAGAGGACATGCAGGTACAGACACACACGGGCACACAAAACTATTACACCTATATATATTTATATATACCACACACTTGAAGACAAAACGATTCGCCCTCCTGTGAATTTAATGTCCTTTTTTAAATGATTCCCAATGAAGAACAAACTAATTAAATGTTCACAGTGTGTCTGATAATATTGTTTCTTCTGGAGAAAGTCTTATTTGTTTTATTTCGGCTAGAATAAAAGCAGTTTTTTATTTATTTTTTTATTATTTTAAGGTCAATATTATTAGCCCCTTTAAGCTATATTTGTTTTGGATTGTCTACAGAGAAAACCATCGTTATACCTATATATACCTATATATATATATATATATATATATATATATATATATATATATATATATATGACCTGCCTAGTTAACCTAATTATCCTAGTGAAGCCTTTAAATGTCACTTTAAGCTTTATAGAAGTGTCTTGAAAAGTATCTAGTCAAATATTATTTACTGTCATCTCTGCATCTGTCACATGGTCGCCCACTGAAGTTAAGCAGGGCTGCGCTCGGTCAGTGCCTGGATGGGAGACCACCTGGGAAAGCTATGGTTGCTGCTGGAAGTAGTGCTAGTGAGGCCAGCAGAGGACGCTCAACTTTTACTCGGTCTCACATTCACATACAGGCATCTAAACGCGCTCAAACAAATCTTTTAAACTTGACAAAAACTCTCGAAAACCTTTACTGTCTGCTGTGTCTTTAATATAGTGTAAAGATTAGTATGCATTATTAAAACATCAAGGAGGATGCAGAAAAGAAAAGTCACTTATAAATTAAAACTTTAATATTTTACGCAACAACCTTATATTTAAAAGGGAAACATAAGGGTGATCATACGCAAAAAAGATGTTTTCTTTCCCTTATTTATTTATTTGTTTGGCGCATTTACTCATGTGTGATCGGAAAACTGTCCCCGCCTCTCCTTTTACTCCACCCCGAAACCCCAGCTGGCCCTCTTTGGCCCAAGGTATTCGGTGGGCCAAAAAAGGACGGCCGCTGGCCCTAAAAAAAGCCCAGCTTTGGCCCGATTAGGCCCCAGAAGTGACAGTGGAAATGAGACTGGCCTTGGCTCGCCCTGACTCGCTCGCTTTAGGCATTATAGTGGAGACGTGGCTAATGAGTGCTGTCTTTCAGATGAGCTCCTGACTGTCTGTGGTCATTAAAAATCTTAGGATGTCCTTCAAAAGAAAAAAAAACAGAGCAGGGGTTTAACATCCCGGCCAAATTTGCCCACTGGCTTCTGTCCATCATGGCCTCCTGACCCCCGTCCATATCATCGGCTTGATTAAGCTGCAGTCACACTAGAGTTTGAGCTTGCGGCACTGCGATAGGGGCGGGATTAAACAAGATGATTAGACATGTAAAAGAGCCAGCGATTGCTCCATGTTTTACATTTCTGTCCAGAGAGGTCATGTTTTGATCCTCGATTGGTCTCACGCAATCAAGTGATGCGATTTCGCAGATCAGAGTTCACCAAGATTGATCTGCACTGCAGCGACCTGGGAAACTTGACGCATGACCTTGGGTTTTCGGTCTGATGCATTTGTGTGCGTATGAATGGAAGTCTATGGGGGGAAAAGTCCAGTGTGACCGCAGCTTCGCTCTGTCTCCTCTCCACCCATCAGCTGGTGTGTGATGTGCACTCTGGCGCAATATGGCTGCCGTCGCGTCATCTGCTGCACACTGGGGGATGAGGAGATTCCCCCAATGTGTAAAGCAGAAAAGCACTATGTAAATGTAAGGAGTTAATTAAAACTATTATGTTTAGAAATGGGCGAGGCAGTGGCGCAGTAGGTAGTGCTGTCGCCTCACAGCAAGAAGGTCGCTGGTTCGAAAATCGGCTCAGTTGGCGTTTCTGTATGGAGTTTGCATGTTCTCCCTGCCTTCGCGTGAGTTTCCTGGTGCTCCGGTTTCCCCCACAGCCCAAAGACATGCGATACAGGTGAATTGGGTAGGCTAAATTGTCCGTAGTGTATGAGTGTGTGAATGTTTGTGTGGATGTTTCCCAGAGATGGGTTGCGGCTGGAAGGGCATCCGCTGCGTAAAAACTTGCTGGATAAGTTGGCGGTTCATTCTGATGTGGCGACCCCGGATTAATAAAGGGACTAAGCCGACAAGAAAATGAATGAATGAATGTTTAGAAATGGGTTGAAAAAAAATCTTCTTTCAAACAGAAATATAGAGGGGGGCTAATAATTCAGGAGGGCTAACAATTCTGACTTCAAAAGTGTGTTTGTGTATATATATATATATAAAGACACCACTAACAGCAAAAGACACTGGACTTGTTGTGTGTTTGAGTAAAACGTCAGAAGAGTTCATATTTGGTGGAATACGCCTGATTTGTTGTTTTGATCAACTTAAATTCTCTCTAAAAAAAACTTAACAACACTAAATAACTCTGTATATCTATTGTATTTTGAAAACGTGCATCAGACATTTATAGAATAAAATAAATACAAACATTTTACCCAAACACATGAGTAAATCTCATACATCACTCGTCAATGCACATCAACTACAACACAAACAGGCCATTCTCACAGGCTGTGTTCAGAATGCAAAACACATCTGAAACAGCAGAGAGTCGCTTATGTCTGAACTCATGTTGCCACAATCATCTCAATATAAATGATTATTTTGCTTTTTTATTTTAAAATGTGTATCATTCTGTAAATTAGCTGGTGATAAATAGGGATGGCTGATGTGAAGCTAACATTTCAACACTGTTGAGATCCCAAAGCACAAGTGTTTCTAAACCCTGCACCAAAGCATGATGCAAAACACCTGGGTCACGTGACTAAAGCGTTTCAAAGCATCAGTCATTTCAGAGGAGTTACGAGACCTGGGGAATCTGCGTTTGACTGCCAGGGTTGGAATAAATCTCTATTTTATGTAGTGTAGTGGACCGTACGTGTGCACAGAGTAACAGTGCTGTAGTTGTCCTGAGTTTAAATCTCGACTTGTACAAATTATGACTTGATCAATTTTAATAATGTTACCTTATATGACCAAAACAAGACTTATTTATTCAGTCTAAGTGTTCGTTCGGATGTCAGACCAATGTTAAAACAAAACACCTTACATAAACAAAGCATTTAAAAACGAATGTCTGCATCACACCGGGTTCGAGCCCATTATCTCTGCATGCTAGTCAGGAACTCTCACCGCTTCTCTAAATCACTTGAAAACTCAACTCTACAATGTGGGCTTTAATACCTCAATTTGCTTAACTGCTCTTTGCTGAAGTTGTTCCAGAACAATACATAAAGAAATGACCACTAGGTTTCGCTGTGGAGACGGGTTTCAAAACGTTTCAAAGCTTTGAACTGCTTCAACTGTTTCAGTGTTTCATGAAGCCTCGCTTTGCCCACCACTAGAGAGGAGATTGTGCAGAGATATTCTGATATATTACTGTGATATGATGTTGTGCTGTTCTGAAATCAGCCAGTGATGTGGACGGCGCATGCAGGACATGCTGAAAATCTCCTAATCTCACCTGTCCTGAACTTGCTGTAGGGCCCGTTTTCATTCACCTGTCGACTGCCGGACCAGAACGGCAGACCTCGCTCTCGCCACCTGCAGGACACACACACAAACACACACACACACCAACGCTCAATTCATCATTCATGAGGACAGGCTTGCTGTAGATTCATGATGAGATCAACATTTTTTACAGAATTAATATATGTGCTTAATATATAGACACACACACTCACTTAAACACACCCACTCATACACACACACACACACGTGCACGCATACTTATAATATATACACTCAATTAATACGGTGCTTTGGAAAAAAAAAAATAATAATAATATATATATATATATATATATATATATATATATATATATATATGCATATGCATACTGACAAATGACCTTAAACTAAAATTTTCATATTTAGGGATGAGCTAGGAATTATCTTTAAGGATTAACTAAAAACTGAAGATCACAGTGCAAAAATTACACCTAAATTGACATGTTGTGGGGAAAATATTAAATAAAATGTTCATAAACAGAAAATATATATATATATATATTTTTTTTTTTTTCTGTTTTTTCTGCACTGTGATATATATATATTCAAACAAGTTTTTGCCAAAAAAAAGAAATGCAAAAACAAAATTTGACATATACATATATATATATGTCAAATTTTGTTTTTGCATTTTTCTTTTTTTTGGCAATAACTTGTTTGTATTAACGCATTTTATTTCTACTCTTAAAGATGTTCTGTGACCAAAAAACTCAGTTTAAATCCCCTATAAAAGTGACATTTGCATAATTTTTAATCATCTTCAGCTTTAAAGCTGAACTCACCAGTGGAAAATGAAAACAGCGGTGATGAAGAAAGCAGAGACGATAATGGTGAGGATCCACATCAGATTGTACTGATCTGGAGTCTGTGTGAAGGAAGCAGAGACATTTACTGACCATTTTTACTGACATTTAGAAAATAATGCAAAAGTTCAGTGCAATTTGTTAATGTATGTAATAACACGAACAACACTTGCACAGCGTTTACTGATCATGATTGAACATTTACTAATGCATTATTAAAGTCCAAATTCATGTTGGGATTTATGAGTTAACAATCTAACAATTACCGACTTTATCTCATTAACTAACATGAACAAAGCTGAATAAATACTGCAGTAAATTATTTGTTCATTGTATGTTTATGTTAGTAAATGCATTAACTAACATTATTTCACGGCTTTCTGGAATACTTAATTCTGATTGGTTAGTCGTGACATTCCAAGGTATTTTATTCTCAGATAGAAACAGCTGAAACTAATGACACAGGCTCACTTGAGTACTTTCAATCATCTTGACTGTCATCTTGATCCATGTTTATATGCTTGTCTGTTGCTGTTTGGCGCTATCTTGTGACTGAATAATTCATAATTTTTGCATTTTGTGGCAAGTTTAGGGATAAAGTACATCCAGGATGGTTAGGTCCCTTTAGGCTTATGCTGCCAATAATCTGGGATTCAGGTCAGATTTATCAGCCCTTCAGAATTATTAGCCCCTCTATATTTTTCTCCAATTTCTGTTTAACGGAGAGAAGATTTCTTCAACACATTTCTAATCATAATAGTTTTAATAACTCATCTCTAGTAACTGATTCATTTTATCTTTGCCATGATGACAGTCAAGACACTTCTATACAGCTTAAAGTGACATTTAAGGTTCCTTGTCACACATGTTTTGGTTTTGTCCTAAACTGTTTGTTTTTTTGGAATGCCATGTTTGATTTTTTTTCAAAGGTTTTTAAAAAGGAGGTTAAGCCAGATTATTGCCCAGCAATTCTTGGATACTCTGATACATTAAACACTTTTCCAAGTTTCCAACAACGACCTCTATTGGAATGATTCTTGCAAAAAAAAAAAAATAATATATATATATATATATATATATATATATATATATATATATATATTTATATATATATATATATATATATATATATATATATATATATATATATATTATTAAACTGGATAAAAAATCCCCAGACTCCCCATGTTTTAAAGCTTGGTTGGGTGAATTGTTTCATGTCATACAACTGGAGAGGATACGTTTCCTGGAGCCCAAATCTCATCTGCAATTTCAAACTGCCTGGCAACCCTTTCTGGATTTCCTCAAAACTGAATAGTGCACTACTACTCTCATAGTAATGACTGAATTTACTCTGTTGTTAATTCATAATCTTGTGTTGACTATGGTAAATGTCCCTCACTTATATATGTAATTTTTTAATATATATTTTATCATTATTTATTTATTTATTTTTGTTTAATTTTTTCTTCTTTGTGTGTGTTGTCTTGTTGGTACATTATGTAAAACCGTTTAAAAAAAATAAATAAAAAAATAAATATATATATATATATAAAGTGACATTTAAAGGCTTAACTAGGTTAATTAGGTTAACTAGGCAGGTTAGGGTAATTAGGCAAGTTATTGTATAACTATTGTATGTTTGTTCTGTAGACTATCAAAACAAAAATATAGCTTAAAGGGGCTAATAATATTAACCTTAAAATGGCTTTTAAAAGAATTTAAAACTGCTTTTATTCTAGCCGAAATAAAACAAATAAGACTTTCTCCAGAAGAAAAAATATTATAGGAAATACTGTGAGAAATTCCTGAATCTGATAAACAAAATTTGGGAAATATTTGAAAAAGGAACTCAAAGGAGGGTGAATAATTTTGAATTCAAGTGCACTTGTGGGTAACACTTCAAAATAACGGTTCATTAGTTAAGTAGGGGATCAAGTACAATGGAAACGTGTAGAGGTTGTTGTCTTCTGTGAGTGATGCATGTCTGTGATCTGACTCACCATGAGAAACACGGGCCGCTGCAGTTTCTTCAGGACGTGCAGGGCGTTTGTGGTGACCGAATGAACGCCAGCACACCACGCTAATGAATATAACCACGGCTGACTGATCACATACAGGTTAGTGCTGATGTTCACTGACGCGTACTTTCTGAAAGCAGAAGACATGCCGTTTATGATCATTAGGCTTATTTACAGATGCAAATGAAATCTATGTACAACACATAATCCAATGAGTCAAATATCAAAGAGAGAAATTGAATTTGCTGCAGTAAGAGAAGCAGTGCAAGTCTTTTTGTTTCATAATAAATTACTTGCATCTCAGAAGACAATGCCGACAAGAAATGAAACCAATGTGGTGGCTTTTGGAAGCGTGAGATGCAGTGGTTAACACTTTCTCAGGTTCGAGTTCCAGCTGGATCAGTTGGCATTTCTGTGTGGAGTTTGCATGTTCTTCTCCTGTTGGTGTGGGTTTCCTGTTTCCTGGTGCTCTGGTTTCCCCCACAGTACAAACACATGCGCTTTAGGTGAATTGAATAAACTAAATTGGCCGTAGTGTACGTGTGTGTGTGTGTGTGTGTGTGTGTGTGTGTGTGTGAATGTGAGTGTGTATGGGTGCTTCCCAGTACTGGGTTGCAGCTGGAAGGGCATCTGCTGTGTAAAACATATGCTGGATAAGTTGGCGGTTCATTCCGCTGTAGGCGACCCGTAATTAATAAAGGGACTAAGCCAAAGGAAAATGAATGAATCATTCTTGGCATTTTTTAATGCGATAATCCAAAAGGCACATAAAAATAGGTGGATGCCGTACCGTATCTGCTCCTGGGACATGTAGCTGTAATGCAGGTTAAGTCTGACGATGTGCTCCTCCTGCAGCTCCTCTATTGAGGCGTGATCTCCAGACGTCTGCTGCAGCTCCGGGTCCAGCTCCTGCACCACACTCCTCTGATCATCCGGCAGCCACAACACCTGACACAAACACAGCACAAATCAGACACTTTTACAAATATGCCATGTGTGATATTGTTGTTGAGTATTGCAATAACAATATTTATCACGATATTACATTTCCCTAGAAAAATGCTTTTTTTTTATTATCATCCATTTTTTAAATCATATTTTAATGATGTTAAAATAAAAAGGCAAAAGATAATTTTCAGATTCATTTATTCTAGAATTTATTCAGAATTATTTAATTATAATTCAGATTTAACAACAATATTAAGGTGGAAACATTTAGTGTTTAAAACACGTGAATGAGTGAAAACCTCTGATTGGAGGTCTAGAAGAGAAACAGCTGCTGATACTCACATGAATGTAGCATCATTTTAGTGACACTACAATAATAAGTATTATTTTCACATTACTGTGAGGTTTGGGTATAGAGTAGGGGAAGACATGAATAAAATACAATCATTCATTCATTCATTTTCTTGTCGGCTTAGTCCTTTTATTAATCTGGGGTCACCACAGCAGAATGAACCGCCAACGTTTTACGCAGGGGATGCCCTTCCAGCTGCAACCCATCACTGGGAAACACCCATACACTCTCATTCACACACACACACACACACACACACTACAGACAACTTAGCTTACCCAATTTACCTATATGTATTTACCGCATGTGTTTGGACTTGTGGGGGAAACCGGAGCACCAGTGGGAAACCCACACCAACACGGGGAGAACATGCAAACTCCACACAGAAATGCCAACTGACCCAGCTGGGGCTGAAACCAGCGACATTCTTGCTTAGAGGCGACAGTGCTACCCACCGCGCCACCAAAATACATTTAATGGGTAATTTAATTAACAATACGAACATTACTCAGTATAATTACTGTTTTTACATTACTGTGATGACTGGTTTTAGGGTAGGGTAGGGGTAAATGTTAATAAATTACAATTTAATGGCTAACTTTGTGTTTCTGTGTGGAGTTTGCATGTTCTCCCTGCGTTCGCTTGAGTTCCCATCAGGTACTCCGGGTTACCACACAGTCCAAAAGACATGCGGTACAGGTGAATTGGGTAGGCTAAATTGTCCGTAGTGTATGAGTGTGAATGAGAGTGTGTGGGAGTTCCCAGTGATGGGTTGCGGCTGGAAGGGCATCTACTGCGTAAAACTTATGCTGGATAAGTTGGCGGTTCATTCCGCTGTGGCGACCCCGGATTAATAAAGGGGCTAAGCCATAAAGAAAATGAATTTAATGGCTAATTGAACTAATAATATGAATAATCACCTGTATATTTACTGTTTTTACATTACTGTGGTTGAGTTTAGGGTTGGGGTAGGGCTAGACATTAATACAATAGTGTTAATGGGTAGTTTAATAAATAGTCTAAATAATTCTAGCTAATTTTGGCCACAGCTGTATCCCTTTTAGCAACAACCCTGATTAGATGTTGTCATTTTTATCTCTCGTCTCGCCATTAGTGTTTAATGTTAAGCTCTGGGTTTGCCTTTGGGTCGCTCCAGCCAATACCACAACAGCAACTACTAGGGGGTGGAGTTTAAGATAATACAGCCACATTTGATTTGTCTAATTTGGATGTAAAACGATGCATAAAATAAATGTAATTTATCACGTCTGTGATATGAGCAATATCACACGAGTAGCAGTGTCATGTGGCTCTATATCGACACTGGTGAGAGGCGTGCGTTGGCTCGAGGCCGCAGGCTGAGTGCCTTAGTGTACAACCAGTGAAGATACACAGTCATATCACACTTATACAAGTGTGATATTGCGTTTATACAACAGTTTGACGACATTATCATGTATATAAAAAAGAAAATCAAACATGGAGAGTCTAAAAATCCTTTTGTAATAAAGAACTACTTTCTTCCACCATTCATTCACATCTGCAGCTGACTTCAGAACAACAGAAACATTTGAATGATTCTCTAGCGTAATGTCTAAAGTGAAGACAAAACAGATGATTTTGCTCACATTTTAGGATTATAAAGCTGAACGGCATGAAATGTCATCAGTCTACAGAGATTGCCCAGTAATTATCTGTTGCAATCAGGAGATCACAATAATTAACCCCGAAAAATGCAGCGCTAACACTACTAGATTACTGTTGTGTTTGTGATGAGGAAAAGGTGATGCTTTACAGGTGGACATTTATTCTTTCTTTCTGTTTACTGAACTAGTCTGCAGTAACGAAAACAGGAGACTCATTAGAAACAGATGGCCAACCAAAATGTAACGCAGCATTATACAAAAAGGTGGCCAACACAAAATTCATCAATTCCTGATATGCGAGACCCATGCCACACTCACCACACTACAAGTACTATAGTATAAATGCAGCACACCTACATATAAAAGAGAGAGGTCGACTAAGAAAGTCACTTACTAGTTTTATAATGATTTGATCAGCTGTAGTTTAAAATTACTCTAGGTTTTTCCTTCTCTAAGGGCTTAATATGCAGTCTCTGTCTCCATCGTGTGGATGACGCTGCATAGTTGCAATGTAAACTACATTCTCGTCTAATAAAGCCTCAAATGTACATTGTGTTGTCCAACAGCTGCAGTATTTGTCAAACTGTAGTGAGTTTATTGATCTGCTGTCACTCTATGTGGGTGGAGTAATACAGAAGGGTGAAGAGGCTGTAGGAGTTCTAATATTACAGAATTTTGCACTGCTTTCAGCCAATCAGATTCGAGAACCAGAGAGAACTGTTGTATAAGCCAGGTGTTCCCAAACTTTTCAGCCCGCGACCCCAAAAATAACAATGCCAGTGACTCGCGACCCCCAATATCCTCTGAGGTGGTTCTAAATACAGAAACCTTCAACCTTCAAACCATGCAATGACACAGACACACCAATTAAATTCGTGTCAGTGCTTTAAATGTGCCAGAAAGTATAACCTGGTGTTATAAAATCAAAATGCATCTGACGCTATTGCTGCCTTTAATATAATGTAATTACCCCAGGGGTCGCAATCCAATAGAACTAGTAACTATAAGCTAACTATATAGTATATAGTAACTATAAACAACTATTTTTATTTTCAGTGTAGTTATGGATAAAATATGTTAATTTTTATGGTTTAATAAAAATAAATAGATTTTTGGAAATCGACAGGCGACCCCCCTTTATTGCCCCGCGACCCCTCGGGGGGTCCCGACCCCCACTTTGAGAACCACTGGTATAAGCTACTATTATCACGATAATGATAATTTCACTATATATTGTGCACAACCATATTCCTTATTTTAATCTCTTCTGTGTTCTGGTAAATCACCTATACTGTATGTTCGACACAGTTAGTGATGTTATGTTAAAGTATAAATGTTGATGATTTGAGATTGTAAGCAGAACTGTCTACGAACTGAGTGTAGAAGCTGGTTTCTGCTCTTGAAAATGCAAATTACCCTCAGTAAACTTTTTTTTTGACTAAATCTTTGACTCTTTTGGCTTTTCTTCATCTGACAGACTGGTCATTTTTGGGTAAAACTGTCGGCCCTCAACAACATCACCAAAAAAACAAAGCTGCATATTTTAATGCACTTCTGGGGACCTTTAAAAATGGATATGCAAAATGCCACAAGGCCACACGACGTGACATTATGGTGCCATTTTAATAACTGGTGATCCACCTGGCTGGAGTTGATGAAGGATTCGTTGTGTATGACCTCCAGGGTGCGAGTGATCCACGTGTCCCGGTACGGGTGACCTCGAGGCGGACGTCTGAGGTCAAAGATCACCAGACTCTGGTGCTGAGCAGCCAGATTGAGGAACTCCTTTAGGGTCGGCACTGTTTGATTCTGGACCTCGATCTTCTCATTTACATTCAGAGACGAGGCCGTTCTGAAAGGATCCCTCTGAGAGAAGAAAAAGAAAGAGAGAGAGAGAGAGAGAGAGAGAGAGAGAGAGAGAGAGAGGATTTGATTGGGTGAGTTTTGCAGGATTCTAAAGACCTTATTCTTTGTTGCTGCATGGAGGGCGCCATAGTGACCAGCGCCTTCTGGTAGGTTGCTTAAATATTACGGTGAGAATTGTCATCAACCAGAGCAGCTTTTCTGGGTGTCAATACAGTTTTCAGTGGTTTATGGGGTGTTTTTGTAATTCAAAACTTTCATTTTGAAAGAAAGATGTGTGTTTACGTGATGCTTTTGTCAGATGCGGTTTAAGTGCGAGAGAAAAATGTTCTCTTAATTCAGTGTCTTTTACAGTTCTATTCCGGTATCGTCCTGTAAAGGTATTTTCCTGTATTTCTCCCGTATTTTCAGCCTTTCTCTGAAGGGTGGCAATAAACATTAAGGAGCTGATCCTCCCTATATGCAACCCATACCTCCGAACCACCAGGGGACGCCCTTTGCTTTTAAATGTGAGTTTGTTCCGTGCTTTTGTTTTATTTAGGCATGAAAAAACTTTAAAAATAATCATTATAACGGCAGGAATCATTTCCTTTTTTCATTACAGGTGTCGTCACCCCTTATATGCAGTCCTCAAAACAGTAATATAGCGGTGCGTGACTGTATAATGATAAATAGATGCTGTTTCTGGATTGTATATACGCGAGTCTGGGTTTTGGGTGTGTGTTTGAACAAACATATACACATAATTAATAATAACATCTAAACATGTCAATCTTGAGCATGAGTTCTAAATGAGCATAGACAGTTAGGAATGCAATCAAATGCTTTAATTATAACTTTAGATGTGTGCATTTATAGAGTGACACCTCTGTTATTTAATGTAATCAAATGAAAAATATGAATAAATTAGATTCATTCATTGCTCTTTAATCAAAATGTTTACGTACCACAGTAAAGGAAAAGTGAATGAGATTTGGAATAATGAGAAATTTAAATTAATTCTATTTCTTTATAAAAGCTACAAATTTTAATAAGCTGAACTGTTTGCTAATTATTTGCTGCTAATGCATACTATTTATTTTTTCTTTTGTAAATAATAATAATAAAACATATTACTGACCGTTTAACTGTTTATTCACAATGAAACACCTCCAAAGGAGCAGATTTAGTAATTTGGGGATTTTCTCACCTTATTATAGTGGGCATATCGCTTATTTTCACATCCCAACGTTGACAGGTATGATAATGTTTTTTTTTTGTTTTTTTACAGCAATTGACCAAGGCTGATCAAAAATACAATAAAAACTGTTATACGTTAACAAGTAATATTATTACACTTTTAAATAACTTTAAAACTTTTCTTATTGTATGTAGTTTTAAATTTGATTTATCCCTGTGATTCAAAGCTGAATATTCATCAAAGCTCATTAATATTCACGACCATTCCAAATATGGTCAATATGGAGCTTCTGATCTTAAGGATATTTTATGGGTAATAAATGAGCATATAAACCCATTTATGGAGATTTTTTTAATTGATTTTTTAATATCAGAGAACATTCATTTATTAATTTTCCTTCAGCTTAGTCCCTTTTTCATCAGAGGTCGCCACAGTTCAATTCAATTCACCTGTAGTGCATGTGTTTGGACAGTGGGGGAAACTGGAGCACCCGGAGGAAACCCAAGCTAACACGGGGACTCGGGGAGAACATGCAAACTCCACACAGAAATGCCAACTGACCCAGCCAGTACAATTTAACTTACTGCAATACAAATACCATATGAATGCGAAAATATGGACTATGGGGGCAGGTGCTCTGACATTTTTTTTATGTTTTATGTTCTGTGTGCTGTATTATTATGTCCTATGTTTATGTATTAAACACCTGACGATAATATTATTGCAGATCAATTTCCCCATGGTTATTAATAAAGTTACCTTAACTCATTATATCATATACTCTTTAATATTGTGAATAAGTGAGTGATGTTAAAGAGCATGAGGCTGAGCATGAGCAGTGCTCTGTGTTCTAGGGTTGATCCTTCTGCAGAGCCTCATTCCAGCCTCAATCCTTTAATCCCAATTGATTCCTCATGGATTTAGGAGGGATTCTGAGGTTAATTAAGAGGCCAGGAGCCCAAACATACATGGATGTGCACTGCATTATCATTTTCATTGCAGTACGAAGGGTTTTTATAAAGCATGCGGGGGTTTCTGATTGTTCTTAATCTGTTAGACTGCAAGATCCTAAAACGTTTGACTTGGTTATTTCTGCATTTTCCATTTTCAGTTTAAGTTTGCATCGTTTTTTGGTATTTTTGCTTTAGCTATTTCAGAGCATCAACTTACACCAAAAACATATTTGATATTTCTTTCAAGTACTAAAAACGGTTGAATTTTTATGTTATTAGTAAATATTAGTGTGTTGTCTATGAGGAAATAGATTTGATCATATGTAATTATCCAGAGAGAATATTAAGTGGCTAAAAATGTAATAACAAAGCCAAGGTTAAATAAATGTGTTAATTACTATTAGAATTATTATTGATAAACAACTTTAAAAATATGTTATTAATATACAATAATTTAAATAACCCTTTTTAGCTGTTTTTGTAGTTTAATACAGTTGATGACAAATTTATTAGCCATTCTGTGAAATTTCACAAATAATTTTCTGTTAAAACTGTTTATTTTTGTACATCATTTCATTAACATCTACATGACACACATGTATGTATATTAAGGGTGGAGCCGAACCCGAATACGGTATTCGGAAAGGCACGAATAGCGTGTTTTTACGAATACTTATTTCGAACAAATACTTGAAAAATTATTTGTATTCGGGAGCAAGAAAAGCATTATATCAAAAAGCAGCGTCTCCTCCTGAGACCACAGTGCGTGAGTGAGAGCGAGAGAGAGAGAGAGAGAGAGAGAGAGAGAGAGAGACGGACGCTCAGTCGGAGGGCGGGGCGGAGGTAAAAGGTCTCTGGCGCAAGCTTCTCCACAACAGCTGACAGAGAAGGCTCGGCTGAGCGAAACAAATACTATACTGCATCAGTATTTTTGTTAAATAGATTTTTGTACCTTAATTGGGTTCCAGATGCAGTTTATAAACTTGTAGCGGAGTTTGTTCGGGATTTTCCATTACGCTGCATTTTTAAAGTTTGCAATCGGGTGCTCTCTGTTTACGCAACGTTAGCTCTGTTAGCGCGGTAATTTAGACAATAGACGGTTGACAGTAACATTAACGTTCGTTTATAAAGGTTAAAATGATGCTTGTGCTGTTGTGTCGAATAGTATGCACTTATGGGAGTTATATGGTACGTCTACATTACTGTCTTTTACAGACAGCAAGATATATGCTATAGGCTAGTTAACCTTAGCATAGCTTCCCGTCACTTTTTATTAACTTGAAACTCCTCAAATACATTTGGGCACCGTGAAAAAGAGTGAGACTGCTGCTGAGCCATTTTTTAGTCCTCCACCAGTAAAAAAAAATAAAACTTGAGGTTCTGTGTGGAAGCATTTTACAGTCAGTGGTGCTGCAGATAAAACAAACTGATACTGTATATGTGCAAAAGTGAAATCAGCAGAGGCAGAGATATTAAACATCTGTCAACATCTTCTATGCATAATCATTCATTTTCTTTTCGGCTTAGTCCCTTTTTCAATCTGGGGTTGCCACGGTGGAATGAACCACCAATTTATCCAGCATATGTTTTACACAGTGGCTGCCCTTCCAGCTGCTACCCAGCACTGGGAAACATCCATACACTCTCTTTCACACACATACAATAGGGAAAATGTAGCTTACCCAATTCACCTATATTGCATGTGTTTGGACTGTGGGGGAAACCGGAGCACCCGGAGGAAACCCACGCCAACATGGGGAGAACCCAGTCGAGGCTCGAACCAGCAACCTTCTTGCTGTGAGGCGACAGTGCTACTCACTGTGCCACTGCGCAACATTCTATGTAATGTATTATCACATGCACTAAAAGCATCCTCTCCTGATACTGTCTGTGAACCCCCCACAAGCATCAATCCCCTCAATCAGCACAGCTATGTTCTGCTAAATCCTCCACAAGCACCAAACCATCAACACAGCCACATTCTGCCCCAGCAAGTCAGTTTCAAACATAAAAAAGTAAAAAAAAAAAAAAAGACTTTGTGTCTTTTTTGTGGCTGGCTGATGATAATAGCAGGGCTGTATCTTTTAGTATTATATAGAATACTTTTGTTCTGCCAGATCTCCCGGGCAGGGTTTTATTTAGATTTATTTAGTTAATATTAGTTTTTGGAATTCTGTGCATTGGAAAGAAGTTCTTTCAGAAGAAGAACAGTTTTTTGAAGTATTTTTTGTTTTTATTGTCTATTCAGTATCCTTCAACAAGAACGGTGGTGGTGGGGTTCATAATATTCACAATGGTATTTTATTAGTTGTTGGTTTAACCATGGATGAGATAATGGCTTCTATATTATTTTCTTTTCAATGACATTTCTTATCACATGTTCAAAAACAACAGCCAATATTGCATATCTATAATTTATATAATGGGTATAATTAAACAATACTTTCACTATAACGTAAATTAGAAGTGTAATAGAAAAAATATATATTTTTGCGCCATTTTGAATTTTACTCGAATACAAATACAAATACAAATACTTTTCCCCCCTCAACAAATACAAATACAAATACAAATACCGGCTGCTCCGCACATCCCTAATGTATATGTATATATATATATATATATATATATATATTTTCATAGAAATTATACACTTACCGGACACTTTATTAGGTACACCTCTCTAGCTGCTCATTAACCCAAATTTCTAGTCAGCCAATCACATGGCAGCAACTCAATGGATTTAGGCATGTAGGCATGGTCAAGTCAATCTGCTGAAGTTCAAACCGAGCATCAGAAAGGGGAAGAAATGGGATTTAAGTGACTTTGAATGTGGCATAGTTGTTGATGCCAGACGGCTGGCCTAGTATTTCAGAAACTGCTGATCTACTGGGATTTTCACGCACAACCATCTCTAGGGTTTACAGAGAATGGTCCGAAAAATAAAAAATATCCAGTGAGCGGCAGTTCTGTGGGCGCAAATGCCTTGTGGATGCCAGTAGTCAGAGGAGAATGGCCAGCCTGGTTTCAACTGATAGAAAAGCAACAGTAACTCAAATAAACACTTATTACAACCGAGGTCTGCAGAACAATGAGTTCACTGTACTCAAATGGCCTCCACACTCACCAGGTCTCAATCCAATAGAGCACCTTTGGGATGTGGTGGAACGAGAGATTCACATCATGGATGTACAGCCGACAAATCTGCAGCAACTGTGTGATGCTATCATGTCAATATGGAGCAAAATCTCTGAGGAATTTTCCAGCACCTTGTTGAATCTATTCCACAAAGGATTAAGGCAGTTCTGAAGGCAAAAGGGGTCCAACCCGGTTCTAGTAAAGTGTACCTAATAAATTGGCCAGTGAGTGTATAGTTTATATATAGTTTTAAGTACATTTCACTATGTAAGATTAATTTAAGTGCCTTGTATTATTCGTATTAATATTGTATGAATGTATTAACTAATGTTATTGGATATTTTATATGAATTTATTTTCTATTTATAATTTATATGAATGTATAAAAACAGCTGTAGTTATGTTTTTCAAGAAGGTCATGTATTCTGTATGGTGCATAAATGGCAGTATTATAAAGCCAGCCGTCAGTATTTGTATCTACAGACCGATGAGCAGAACAGAAGTTTCTGGATGCTCACCCGCAGAAACCAGGATCCAGCGCTGAGCATCTCCAGCTCTGCCCATGTGAACATGGCCGCCGGAGAGTCCGTCCGGTTGGGAAAGACTTCATGCACGTTGGTCGTCCTCCTCAAAGTGCTGTCGTGCATCAGGAACGGGACGCCATCATAACTGCACACAGCGAAATTACATTGCATTACATTTACAATATTGAGCTCAAATGGTATGTTTCTGCATCCAACAAAATTAATTTCAGTTTGTTTAAGAGATTTTTAATAGCATCATATTCTGCCAAATCATACTGCTTTAGAATTTGAAAATTAAAAACAAAAAATCATAAATGAATAAACATAAATGTTAGTATTTTAAAGTAGAACTGTAATTTACAGATGTAATACATTCATTTTTATAAATTTGTAACTAAAATAACAATTAAAAAATTATATATATATATATATAAACTTTGTCCTTGCTTTTTCTTTTTTTCTTTCAAAATGTTTGTCTTTTCATCTAATATTTACATCGTATACCAGCATGATTTCATTTGAACCAAATACCTGTTTTCACCTCATCTAATCCCTAGTCCACCATGAAGAAGCACAAAAACAATTCACCTGGTCAAAATATCAACCTAAATGCACATGATAAGTTGGTCAAACACATGAAATAACTCCTGTTATCCAGATTAACCCGTTCTCAATCCATAGCTGACACTGATCTGCATTTGTCAGTGGGGTCAAAGGCTCTTATATCACCAATAATCCATAACACACTCATTGACTTCTGTTCTGCTGCTTCTAAATCACTCAGTATGTTTAAATGGACACCAATACTCCAATATTAAAGGGATAGTTCACCCAAAAATGAAAATCCTGTTTACCAGCAAACAATTTAACATCATAAAACGTTCCCGTAACATTTCCATTAGGTAAAAAAAAAAAAAGCATTTTGTTTGAAAGTTATTAGAATGTTCAAAATGTCCTGTGTTTTAGACGTTGTATTAATGTTATTGATTGGTTGAACTTTATTAAAATGTATTTAGAACTTGTCATAGTAATGATTAAACAACTTTTAAATAATTTAATAATGTTTGAATAGTTTTTTTAAAATTTAAATAATATTTCAAATATTCCAACAAAATAGTTTTTATCCTAACATTTTAGAACGTTCCATTCATAACTTAATGCTAAAGTTGTTAATGCTAACGTTTTTAAAACGCTTCAACAAAAACACAATGATAACGTTTATTTTGCTGATGTTTTTAGAATGTTTATTATTTACAAATAACCTTATACAAACATTATGCAAGAACGTTTTTTGATAACTTTGAGAGAACATTTAGAGAACATTAGCTAAAGTTATAACACTCCCTGTTAGTTTGTTTTTTACTGACTTTTTTTCTTTATTTTGTTGAAACCACAAAAGAAGATAATTTGAAGAAAGCTGTAACCATTCACTTGCATAATATTTATATTTCCTACTATGAAAGTCAATGGTTACAGGTTTTCAGCTTTCTTCAGAATATATTATTTTCAACAGAATAAAGAAACTCATAAAGGTGTGGAACCACTTAAGGGAGAGTAAATAGTGAGTACATTTTCATTTTTGGGTCTCTTTAATATGATCACGACAATACTCTGATTAGGAGAGACTTTTGATGACTTTAATCTTACTAAAGTCGTAGTAAACACAAATCAAGTGAAGAAATGTGGAGTATTCCTATTTTAGTCGCATCACTGAAGCGCAGTACAGACATGTAAACACCTTAATTAAACTATTACCGTTGCAATTATTCATTCATTCATTTTCTTTTTCAGCTTAGTCCCTTTATTAATCTAGGGTCGCCACAGCAGAACAAACCGCCAACTTATCCAGCACATGTTTTACGCAGCGGATGCCCTTCCAGCTGCAACCCATTTCTGGGAATCAACCATACACACTCAATCACACTCATACACTACGGACAATTTTAGCCTACCCAATTCTCCTGTACCGCATGTCTTTGGACTGTGAGGGAAACCAGAGCACCAAAAGGAAACCCACGTGAATGCAGGGAGAACATGCAACAGCACTACCTACTGCACCACTGCATCACCTCCGTCGTAATTAATGGTAAATATAAGGTGGGATAATGTTCAGTGTAATATTCAAGACTCTTAGATTAAGCTACCTTTTACTCTTACTTTAAGTAGTATTTACAATAGATACTTTTACTTGACCTGGCAAAATTTTTAAATAATAATAATTAATACTTCCTTGCATTTATATAGTGACTCAAGGTGGGGGGGTGGGGGGATCTTATTTTTTTGGCAAGTAATGGTACATTTTACTTGAGTAGGATTTTTTAGCGCTGCTAATATTACACTTGATTTTGAACCCGATGCTAAAGCTAATGCTTCAGAATCAGCAGTGTTTTTCTGTGCACATAATAAACACATGACTGGCAATGTAAAGTCACTGAAGCTGAGTGATTCAGACTGTAAACAGACCACACGTTCCCTTGGCCTCATCCACACTTCCTAGGGGGCCTCTGTGGTAAAGATGAGTGCTAACAGGATTAGTGCTCCGCTAATCAGTTTAACCTGAAGCAGTGACTCATCCAGGAGAAGTTATTTATAGTGCTGTTGGCAAAAACAGGCCTTTGTCCAGAAGAAATTACCTCATGAATGACCGTCTCATTGATGCTGTGCTGAGGATGTGTTTAAAGGGACACTCCACTAGCATGTTTACCTCTGCTAGAATGCCTGTAGTATGATTTACCACACTGCTAGCATGTTTACCTCAAAACTAAAATGTCTGTAGTATGATTTACCACACTGCTAGCTTGTTTACCTCAAAACTAAAAGGTCTGTAGCATGATTTACCACACTGCTAGCATGTTTACCTTAAAACTAGAATGTGTGTAGTATGATTTACCACACTGTTAGCATGTATGCCTCAACGATTTACTGCACTGCTAGCATGTTTACCTCAAGCTAGAATGCCTGTATGATTTACCACACTGCTAGCATGTTTACCTCAATCTAGAATGTCTGTATGATTTACCACACTGCTAGCATGTTTTCCTCAATCTAGAATGTCTGTATGATTTACCACACTGCTAGCATGTTTACCTCAATCTAGAATGATTTACCACACTGCTAGCATGTTTAACTCAAGCTAGAATGATACCACACTGCTAGCATGTTTACCTCAATCTAGAATGATTTACCACACTGCTAGCATGTTTAACTCAAGCTAGAATGATACCACACTGCTAGCATGTTTAACTCAAGCTAGAATGATACCACACTGCTAGCATGTTTTCCTCAATCTAGAATGTCTGTATGATTTACCACACTGCTAGCATGTTTAACTCAAGCTAGAATGTCTGTAATATGATTTACCACACTGCTAGCAAGTATATCTCAAAGCTAAAATTTAAATAGTATGATTTACCACACTGCTAGCATGTTTTAATCGTGCTTAGCATGATTGTAACATGATTTACCCCACCGTTAACATGTTTAAATATTTCCTAAGCCCTTTATTTAGTTGCTAATAATGTTTATAGTTTTAGTTCATAACAATTGGCAACCCCTTTGAAACATTTACAATTAGCTGCAATGCATTCTGAGTTAGCCTTTTTTGTGATGATTGCTAAGGTAAAAATAGGCCAAAATGAGGTCTCTTACAAGCCATAAGAGAAGCACCTTCACACTGTTTTATTCAGCTACAGTAAGCAGAAGTGTCTTCAGCAGCTCACCTGATGGCCACGTCCGTCTCCAGTCCTTCTCCTCCAGCTTCAACTGCTTTCTCAAAGGACATCTGAGTGTTTTCTGGTGCAAGCTGTTTGAAAACAAATGAAAATGTCAAACAGTTTGACTCTTGACCCCTGCAATCATGCTGAAATGTTGAATGTCAAACATAAGATTCAAAAAACATTTACAACAGAAGACAAATGTATTAGATAGACAGTGAATTTGACATTTTTAAAAAGTGTTGCTTACCAGATAGAAGACTTTCTCAGCACATTTTTAAACATAATAGTTTTAAAGTAACTTCTGATAACTGATTTATTTTGTCTGAGCCATGATGGCATTTTTTAATATTGTTCTAGTTTTAGATACTAGTATTCAGCTTAAAGTGACATATAAAGGCTTAATTAGGTTAATTAGGGTTATTAGTAGGCCCACACTGAATCTGCACGTGCAGAAATCTGCAGATTTTTAGCCTATCATTGAGTCTATGTAATTACATGTGTAAATGTGTGTAAATATATTTGTTCAGTTCAATTATTTCAGTAATATAATTGTCTAATATAAAAATGTTCATTTGATTTATTTACAATTCAATACATAATTTACATTATTTACAATACATAATGATAAAAACATTTACAGGAGGGCTAATAATTTCATCTTCAACAGACTGAGAATCAAGCATACTGCGTGTCCAGTTTAGCTTTGAAAGTGCAGTCAGACATTGATTTTAATGGCCTGCTGACCCGTCAAGCCCACACAAATCCACATGTGCTCTTTCAATATTACAAATATCAGAGGGTAAAAATACCGCACCATGGGCGCTCCTCTGTGCCCGATAAGGGTTGGCGCCGGCCCCAGCGTGCCCTCCTCTTTGATACAAGGCGAATACATGCCCAGCGGCACCAGATAGAGAGCGAAGAGAACCGCCAAATACAGGCTCAGGATCAGCACCTGCCTCACTGAAATACACACAACAAAACACACACACACACACACTCAAATACTCAGGCAATCACAATGTAGGACAGATCCAATCAATGCAAAAATAAATGCCACCTTCACAAAATATATGGCACTTTCATAGTATATAGTTTATAGTACATGAGAGGATCATATACAAGTAAAAGTATTTAGGTTATGTGTATAGCTTAAGCATTTGCTTTATACAGTTGAATTATTAGCCCTCCTGAATTGTTAGATCATGCATGTTTTCCTAAAAATGCTAAAACACTCTCATAATTCACAATTAGTTTAAAAACAAATACACCATCCCAGTTCAGACCAGACCAGCACAATCCTGAACAAGCATGTGAATGTCATAAGCTGAAATGAGAGAATGCTGTGTGTTCATGTGAGATCTACACTGGCACGGCTGACCACAGGAGCAGAGAGGAGATGTCTTTGTGAACGAGGAATGATTCGGACAAAGAGACGTCTCTGGAGAGGCGAGTGAGTTCAGCCTGTGTCCTGCATCTGTCTTCATTCGTCATGCCAGAGCCTCAGATATGAGTCAGCTGAACCAATTATCAATACAATTCACTCCTATTATAATCTATTGATTATGAGTAGGCCCACACAATTTCTTTACACATTTCTAAACATAATAGTTTGTTCTGTAGACAGTAAAAAACAAAGCATAAGGGGGCTAATAATATTGACCTTTAAAAAATTTAAACTGCTATTACTCAAGCTGAAATAAAACAAATAAGATTTTCTCAAGAAGAAAAAATATTGTAGGAAATACTGTAAAAATTCCTTGCTCTTTTAAACATTCATTCGCCACAGCGGAATGAACCGCCAACTTATCCAGCATATGTTTTACGCAGTGGATTCCCTTCCAGCCGCAACCCATCACTGGAAAACACCCATACACACTCGTTCACACACATACACTACGGTCAATTCAGCTTATTCAATTCACCTATGCCACGTCTTAAGACTTGTGGGGGAAACTGGAGCACCCGGAGGAAACCCATGTAAACACAGGGAGAACATGCAAACTCCACACAGACACACCAACTGACCCAGCCATGGTTTGAACCAGTGACCTTCTTGCTGTGAGGTGAACGTGCTACCCACTGCGCCACTGTTTAGCCCTCTTTTAAACATCATTAAAATTATTTAATATTTTCCCAGAAGGGCGAATAATCGACTTCAATTGTACACCGAAATACGATGTGCTCAGAATCACAATGTGTTTTCATTTGTCTTCTGCACTGCACAGCATCACATACCTCTCTTATTCATGCGGAAAAAGTGTAAGGCGATTGGCCAGGACAGCAGCGTCATTATACAAACTCCGCCCAAGTGCAGGAAGGGCGCCGTGACCTGCACAGCACAAATGAAGATGCATTACTGGAACTGAGCTTGAAGTAAAGCTCAGTTTGTCACAGACTCCCTGTGTTGAGAAAAATGAGTGACCTGAAAAGAAAGGAGCAGCGTCGTCCATTCTTTACTCCATAAGTCAGAGAGCACAGCGGTGGCACTGATGGAGAAGGTGAGGGTCACCAGGATACCAATCTGTGTGACATGCAAGACATTATATTAGGATAAAATAACATATCATACAACATATAACATTACATTTTCACTAACTGAGTTTTAACTAAACAGATTTTTATTAATTGTAAAAAATAATAAAATAAATGAAACAGAAAAAACTAACACAAATAAAACATATTTTATATAAAAAAAACAATATATAATTTTAAAAAAAATTTTCCTGAATTATTAGCCCCCTGTTTATTTGTTCTTCAATTTCTGTTTAACAGAGAGAAGATTTCTTCAACACATTTCTAATCAAAATAGTTTTAATAACTCATCTCTAATAACTGATTTATTTTATCTTTGTCATGATGACAGTAAATAATATTTGACTAGATATTTTTCAATACACTTCTATACAGGTTAAAGTGACATTTAAAGGCTTAACTAGGTTAATTAGGTTAACTAGGCAGGTTAGGGTAATTAGACAAGTTATTGTATAACGATGGTTTGTTGTGTAGACTATCGAAAAAAGTATTGCTTAAAGGGGCTAATAATTTTGAACTTAAAATTATGTTTAAAAAATTAAAAACTGCTTTTATTTTAGCGTAAATAAAACAAATAAGATTTTCTCCAGAAGAAAAAATATTATCACACATACTGTGAAAATTTCCTCTCTGTTAAACATCATTTGGAAAATATTTAAAAAAGGAAAAAAAAATCAAAGGGGGGCTAATAATTCTGATTGCAACTGTATTTATTCATTCTTTCATTTTCTTTTTGGCTTAGTCCCTTTATCAATCTGAGGTCGCCACAGCGGAATGAACTGCCAACTTATCCAGCACGTTTTACGCAGCGGATTCCCTTCCAGCCGCAACCCAACACTGGAAAACACCCACACACTCTTGCACAGACTATGAGCAATTTAGTTTATTCAATTCATTAGAACTGCATGTCTTTGGACTGGGTGAAAACCAGAGCACCCGGAGAAATATATATATATATATATATATATATATATATATATATATATTGGGCGAGGCAGTGGTGCAGCAGGTAGTGCTGTCGCCTCCCAGCAAGAAGGTCGCTGGTTCGAACCTCGGCTCAGTTGGCGTTTCTGTGTGGAGTTTGCATGTTCTCCCTGCCTTCGCGTGGGTTTCCTCCGCGTGCTCCGGTTTCCCCCACAGTCCAAAGACATGCGGTACAGGTGAATTGGGTAGGATAAATTGTCCATAGTGTATGAGTGTGTATGAATGTGTGTGTGGATGTTTTCCAGAGATGGGTTGCGGCTGGAAGGACATCTGCTGCATAAAAACTTGCTGGATAAGTTGGCGGTTCATTCTGCTGTGGTGACTTATAAAGGGACTAAGCCGACAAGAAAATGAATAAATGAATATATATTATATATACATATAGCGTCATGAAATCCCTCTAATAATTATTATTAATATTTTTTTTATGGTAATAGTATTAAAAGCAGTGATGACTAGAGTAATCATTTCATTTGAAAATACATACAATAAGAAAGCAATTATTTAATTTTTTTAAAATAAATATTTAACAATTTAATAAACCTTGATGAACAGAATAATTTTCTTTAAAAAAACATTATAAAAAAATTGACCCCAAACTTTTGACCGGTGGTTTATATACATTATTTAAATATTTAAACATTAAACATTTTTTTATAGTTTACAATAATTTAAAAAACAGTACTTGAAAAAAATAATAGTAAAAATACAAGCTAATTAGGATGACTAAATATTCCAAAAACATATTCATTCATCCGTTTATTTTATTTTCAGCTTAGTGCCTTTAAAAAGAGATATGATAAATAAATGTTAATAAACATGCCTAAAAACAATCATTTTCAAGTTTAACCCCATAAATAATCAATCATTACGAAGCAAAATATTTTAGATTTAATTTATTTTGTGTTTTAGTGTCTTATTTTTGTTTAGCTGAGCATCATAAACTAGTCATAAATTATTTGATCATAGCTTCAACACGATCTGTGAATCATACGAAGCTGTTTCTCTGGTAACGCAGATATGAAGTGAATACAAATGAAAGATGAAGAGACTCTGTGTTTCTCTGCTCACCTTGTGGCTCCAGTGAAGGTAAAGCCTCTGTCCTTCAGAGAGAAGGCACACGGCGAGGACCTGCACAACACAAACACCATCAGTATAAGGAATAGATACATCCATCTATAAATATTACCCATGGTTCTCTATTTCTAAATTTTCAAAGTAATATGCAAAGAAAACAAATCTAATTACTTTACAAATTAAGTTATGTTTAAGAAAATGAAATGATGCACGGGAAATAAGTATTGATCACATGAAGAAAGGGAGGTGTAGTTTGGCAGGGAAAGCCCAGACAGCAGCTGAAATCTCAGTAGTTGTTCAGCAACTCTCTGCCCTTTCTCAATGTAAATGAACATCAGCTGCTTCAGTCCAACATCTACATTAGCACGAGGATGAAGATGGAACCAGGGGGGACATTTCAGCAAGACAATGATCCAAAACACACCCAAGGAGACTCTCAAATGCTTTCAGTGAAAGAAAATCAAGCTGTAGAATGGCCCAGCCAATCACCTGACCCGAATCCAATAGAGAATACAAAATAAAGCTCAGATTTGATAGACGAGACCCACAGAACCACCAAGAACTCACACCTGAGCAATGCATGTGACTTCATTCTCCATATGAGAGGCGTGTTTAAGCTGCCAGCACCAAAGAAAAAAGCCTATAATATAAAGTATTAAACACAGGGCTTTCTCCTTGTGTCATTCCATTGTTATCACACACAACTCATTTTCACTATGTTTTTTTATTTTTTATGCTTGTCTTTAGGTTTTTACCAAAATCTGCTTCAGTTCCATGTCAACAGCTCCTTTAGAAATGTTATTTCCAGGAAAAAACATGCTTTGTTCAATACTTATTTCCCCAACTGCATATCCTGCACTTGCTGCATATAAACTCCTGATCAGACCTAAACTGCATTTCGTTGCCTTGTACTTGTACATGTGTATTGACAATAAAGTTGAATCTAATCTAATCTATATCATGTAAAACTCAGAAGCTTTGCTGCAGTTCAGAGACTCACCAGGAGGAGGGCGATGTATGTGAAGAGACCCGCTGAGACCACCAGCAACACCACTGACCACGGAAACCAGAAGCCCAGGTTCCCGAAGTTAAACCTGCATCAGAAAAATCACAGATCTTAACTCTTTCCCTGCCATTGATGAGATACCTTGTCGATTAAAGAGACAGTTCACCTGTTAGAGATAGTTCACCCCAAATTACCTGTTTGGCAATAGAGACCAAATAATCTCTGAACTGACTCAATTTTACTCTGAGGATTTTGCTGTGTATGCTGCAATTTATTTGCAATATCTTCCTTGAATTTAATTGTTTTATCTTTCAATTTCTAAATTGAAAATTCTCATAATTATTTTTTAATAAATATAATATAAATATATTTTAAAAATCTTCTCTCTGTTAAAAAAAAAAACAGTGAGGCTAATAGTTCTGACCTCAACTATATATACAGTTGAAGTCAGAATTATTAGCCCCCCTGAATTATTAGCCCTGAATTAATTTTTTCCCCAATTTCTGTTTAATGAAGACAAGATTGTTTCAGCACATTTCTAATCATAATAGTTTTAATAACTCATCTCTAATAACTGTTTTATTTTATCTTTGCCATGATGACAGTAAATAATATTTGACTAGATATTTTTCAAGACACTTCTAAACAGCTTAAAGAGACATTTAAAGGCTTACCTAGGTTAATTAGGTTAACTAGGCAGGTTAGGGTAATTAGGCAAGTTCTTGTATAACGATGGTTTGTTCTGTAGACTATTGAAAAAAATTAGCTTAAAGGGGCTAATAATTTTGTCCCAAAAATGTTTTTTTTTTAATTAAAAACTGCTTTTATTCCAGCCAAAATAAAACAAATAAGACTTTCTTCCAGAAGAAAAAATATTATCAGACATACTGTGAAAATTTCCTTGCTCTGATAAACATCATTTGAAAAAAATTTAAAATATTTAAAAAAATCAAAAAGGGGCTAATAATTCTGACTTCAACTGTATATATATATTAAATATTAAATATTTCTCAAATGATGTTTATCAGAGCAAGGAAATTTTCACAGTATGTCTGATAATATTGTTTCTTCTGGAAAAAGTCTTATTTGTTTTGTCTTATTGTTTAGGTCTTATTGATGGTTAAAAATAATTGTTTTTGAATACGTTCTAGTACAATTTGTGCTCGGCTTAGTCTGATATAATTCAAAGTCTTTCACAGAGTCCATTTCTCAAAAACCAGGCTATCTGAAATTTTTCCCAATATCGATGATAGATGTGACAGATGTCATGCACCAAGTTGTAATTTGAGTCATATGTTCTTTATGTGCCCTCTATTACAGAATTATTGGATTAGTTATTTTACAATTATGTCCAAGGTGTTGCAGGTAAATATAGACCCATCCCCTGATGTTGCCATTTTTGGGGTTCCAAAGATTTGGTCCAAATTTAATTCTAAACAGCTTGATGTTTTGGCCTTTACCTCACTAATAGCCAGGCGTCGTATACTACTTCACTGGAAATCAAATAAGCCTCCAACTACATCCCAATGGCTTGTAGATACCATGCATTTTCTTAAGTTGGAAAAGGTTAGATGCTCTGGGAAAACTCATTTCTTTAAAAAGTGACAATGTTTTATAACTTACTTTAACTCTCTTAAGGTATTGCCTTCCATTTAATAGATGCAATCTCCTGAGTTCCCTCCCTTTTTAATTTATTTCGTTTTAATTAAACTTTTTTGTTTTATCTAGTACCATTTTATACCGTTTAATTGTAAATATTTACTTTCAACATTGACAATGTATCTGAACATTTGATTGTGATATTTGGTTGTAATTTTCAGTACACTTAATACTCATGTTTTATTTTTCTTTTCCTCTTTTATTATTATCATTATTATTATTAATATTTCTCGTTTTTATTATATATATATATATTTTTGTTATTGTTTTTTTTGTCTCTTTTGTAAAAAAAAAAAAGAGAATGATATGTAACTATCTGTACTGATATAATGTTTGTTTTTTCACAATAAACAATTTAAACGTAAAAATAATTGTTTTTACCTATTGGGACTGAATTGCACACTGCGCTTTGCACACTGAAGAAAGCTTTGAGTCGAAACATCAGTATCTTTCCCATTAGTAATGAATCATTAATGAAAACTTAAAGAGAAGACTGTTCTCATGAATGTGGATCATAATTTCCTCCGACTAGATTGAAATTAAAAGCTAAATAAAAGATTTCGGTGCAAACAGAGCTCTACATTTATCGATAAAAATGTTCCGTTCATCTGGAGACACTCACCAGTCGAAGTCGTTGTAATCATTTTGCGCTTCACTCCAGAAATACAGGAATATCAGCGTCAGGAAAAACGTTACGATGAGGAGAGCGAAACTACTGCACTCCAACTGCAAAAAAAGCACACACAACACACAGATAGTCAACAGGAGGAGTTTAGTGCGCTTTCATTTTAACATTAAACAAAAAAAAAATCCTGATACATAAACTGGAGTTTCCACTACATTTCAGAACAGATATTTTTTCACATCACAGAACTGAAAATAGCATGTCCAAAGCTAATATACAGTATAAACTATAGTATAAATCTGTAGCTTCATATAAATATTAAAGGCAGAGAGAGTTTAAAATGTATATCTAAATCAGCTTCAATTGGTATTTCATGGCAAAATCAGATAAAAGTTACCATTTATAAATAACATTTCTCTATAATACATAGGTTTACAACAATAAAAACATTAATATCAATAAATAATACATTAAAAAGATTAACCCTTGGACACAGTTCAGAGGCATTACCTTTTCGCTATGGTTGGGATGAAAACATCCCCTACATTAAACTGCTGTACAGTAAATACACTACTTGACAAAAATCTTGTCGTCAATCCCAGTTGTAAGAGCAACTAATAATCACTTGACTTCTAGTTGATCATTTGGTAAAGTGGCAGACGGTGGATTTTATTGATGAATCATCTGTTGAACTGAATCCCAATCATCACAAATACTGCAGAAGACCAACTGGAACCCACATGGAGCCACGATTCTCACAGATATCAGTCAAGTTTGGTGAAGGAAAAATCATGGTTTGGGGTTGCATTCAGTATGGGGGCGTGCGAGAGATCTGCAGAGTGGACGGCAACATCAACAGTCTGAGGTATCAAGACATTTGTGCTGCCCATTACATTACAAACCACAGGAGAGGACAGATTCTCCAGCAGGATAGCGCTCCTGCTCATACTTCAGCCTCCACATCAAAGCTCCTGAAAGCAAAGAAGGTCCAGGTGCTTCAGGATTGGCCAGCCCAGTCACCAGAAATGAACATTATTGAGCATGTCTGGGGTAGCTGAAGGAGGAGGCGTTGAAGATGAATCCAAAGAGTCTTGATGAACTCTGGGAGTCCTGCAGGAACGCTTTCTTTGCCATTCCAGATGACTTTATTAATCAGTGATTTGAGTCATGTCAGAGATGTATGGATGCAGTCCTCCAAGCTCATGATGGAGCCACACACAATATTCATTCATGACTTTATATTCTATACTGGACATTATTTCTGTTCAGTGATGAGACTTTTGTCTAAGCAAAGTCAGAGCTTACTGTCCTAATGAAATAATTAAACATTAAGGCATAACATTAAGGTAAAATAAGCGTAATCTAGAGGCCTTTGCCTTTCATATAAGCCACTTATGATACCAAATGATCAGCTAGAAGTCAAGTTATTATTTGTTGTTCCTAGGCGACAAGACTTTTCTCAGGTAGTGTAAAGTATTAAAGCCCCTGTACATACACAAAGATCGAGATAAAGTTAGCGCATGCACCACATTTTTGCCGTATTTGCATTAATCGACACATTATACTCTCCAGGGCCTTTTTCCGTCCACATCTGTGAATGTTCTCCCCTTAACCAGCCACTCACGCAGCTCAATAGAAAGCACTTACGGGTGCATTTCTCCTGCATGTGCTGATTAGTTCTGTTGAACAGCGCTCTTCAGCTGCTGATGGGCTGCTTTCTAAATCGAGCTGTTTTCACTGCTCTGCTTGAGTTCAGAGGTTTGAGAATGACTCAGAAAGCATCATTCACTGAGTCATTTAAGTGTGGATGACTCACCGTATGATGAGTCGGGCTGTCCTGTACAGCTCCACATCCGCTCTTTAACTCTTTGGGCCCTATCATGCAACCAGCGCAATGTGGCGCAAGGCGCTGCGCAATACTTGTTTGCTAGTTTCAGCTTGGCGCAAGAGTCGTTTTGAGGTGTTGCGGCACGCTCTTTAAATAGCAAATGCATTAGCGCTCATATGTGCGCTCATAGGCGTTCTGGTCTAAAAAGGAAGGTGTTCTGAGGCGCACTGCTGGCGCGTTGCTATTTTGAGAAACTATAATAGATTTTTTATTAGACCAAAAGAAACCCGGACTAAACTCCAGCGCAGAGTTGCGTCTCGCTTACACACTGCTTAATAGCCTACACACAAGATGTAGAGCAATACGCAAATATCTTTACACATGAAAAAATACAAATTTTAAGAGTATATACAGGATATAATAAGAATAGATATAGGATATAAATAAGAAGGATTCAAATATTACAAAACATATTATTTTCTAGCCTACATAAATATGAAAAATCACTGCTTTTAAGCCTTCTTCATCTCGGGAGGCTTTTTAAGTTCATTCATAACAATTTGCTTTTGTATAATGTTATTATTATTAGCAGTATTATTTATTATATCCATATTTATATTTGTTTTATTAAAAACAAGCTTAGATTTGCCCACCTGTCAGGTTTTAGACCATATGGGGCACAGCATGTGTTTTAGGATATAATTCAGGTTTTTGAGCACATTTTGTTATAATTGTTCATTTATTCGTTTGCTGGAAATTAGAACTGAATTTAGAAATAGTTTTTAAAACAATTATTTGCGCTTAACAAACGAAATTAATTATTTATAGGCTAATGAATGTCTGTGTGTAAAGGTTTCCCTATCCACGAGCGAAAGTGAAAGTAGATCCATTATCTCTCATTCTCACGCAATAGATGAGACTCTGATTGGTTTATTCTCAAAACACACCTATAACTCATTAAGAAAATAAACTCAACCCTTTTAAACCATGCGCCATGGCGCAAAGCGGATTTTCCCGTCCTTAAATTAGCAAATATGGATTCTGACACGCCCTGAAAGCGTTTGCGCCATGCGCTTTCCGTTTTGCGCATGGACTATCAAAATAGAGCCCTTTATGTCCATATAAAATCCAGAAACTAAGCTTATTTTTGCAAAGGCCTGTCTAAGGGGTTAATGTTACAAACTGTAAGACATACAGAATAAAAATAGTTTTAATAAATAATTTATTTTGTCCTTGCCATGATGACAGCACATATTTTACCAGTTATTTTATGAGATACTAGTATGAGTGGGTGGGGTTAATTTTTTATTTATTTTTATTGTAAAAAAAAAAACACATGAAATTTAACATGATTTTTTTTTTCCATTTTAACTCCTTTAATTAATTAATTAATTAATTAATTAATTTATTTATTTATTTATTTATTTATTTGTTTATTTATGTACTTATGTACTTATGTACTTATCTTAGTATTTAATTTTATATTCAATTTAATTTTTAATGAAATTTAATACTTAATTTAATTTAATTTATCAATTTTCCTTCGGCCTATTCCCTTTATTCATCAGGGGTCACCACAGCAGAGTGAACCGCCAACTTCTCCAGCACATGTTTTACACAGCAGATGCCCTTCCAGCTGCAACCCAGTACCGGGAATCACTCATACACTAAGGACAATTTAGTGTTTTCAATTCACCTATAACGCATGTGTTTGGACTGTGGGGGAAACCGGAGGACCCGGAGGAAACCCACGCCAACACGGGGAGAACATGCAAACTCCACACAGAAATGCCAACTGACCCAGCTGGGACTCAAACCAGTAATTTAAACAACAGTAATTATTTATTTATTTATTTTTTTTTTATAATTAAATTAAATTAAATTAAATTAAATTAAATTAAATTAAATTAAATTAAATTAAATTAAATTAAATTAAATTAAATTAAATTCCAGCCAAACTAAATGAAATGAGACATTCTCCAGGAGTAAAATATATCCTTCCTCTGTTAAACATCACAAAGTACACACATTTCACAAGAGGGCTAATCATTTTGTCTGTATTCTGCTTTTCAACAAAACATGCACATTAAAATCAGTGTCTGTTGCATTAAACCCTGAAGGAATGAAGCAGTGTTTGGTGTATCAGTGTCTGTTTGCTGACCCGGCTGCAGCAGCACTCTCCCGGCTGGGCTTTGGCGCGCTGGTATCTTCTCCACTGGCAGCCGTACAGACCGGCCAGACAGGAGACAAATGGCTGGTGCTCATAGCGCTGCAGCAGCTGCCGCCGCACCACCTTTAGCTTCCCCAGCTTCAGTCTGGACAGGCTCACCGATCAGCCGCTCCCTGCATGGGGCAGCCCGGAGCAGACGGATGGAGGAGAACCAGGAGATCTGGAGCACCAGACCTGCGGAGACACAGTTACAAAAATAGCTCACATCCAACGGCTTTACTTGCGTCTACACTGTAAAAAAATATCTTTAAATTAGCAGTTTCCCGTATTTTGTGATTGATGTTTTTAGTTTTGTTTATGTTTATTTCTGCTTTTGATATTCAGCTTGATATTTCCTCCAACAACTTGGAAACCTTAGAACTTACAACCTTGGAAACTTAAAAGTGACTTTTTTATATAATATACTTAATATTTTTAATAGTTTGAAGTGCTTTATTGTCTTTGTTGGTGTTATATATTACAGAACAAAATCCTTGTAATAAACTGCCAGCACGTTTTCAGTTTTTTTACAGACTTATTTCTCTATGTGAGCTATTCCAAGCAAATGTCAACCATGCCATGAAAGAAATTACGTTTTCCCAAAAATGTTTGAGTAAGCAAGTATTTTACAGCACTTTAGAAATACTCAAAAATGTATGGAACAAAATCAATGCCAAAAGCATTGATTTAAAAAGCTTGTTGAATAGCGCAAACAGAAAGAAAATAATACACCAAATTAACAAGTTCTTGCATTTTAATGACTTGAATTGCAGGGTTTGTATTTTTAGGTCCTGAAATTTAACATAGCTGTTTATTTAAGTTTTAAATATTTCAACTAAAAATATTTCAAACATGTTTTCGTGCTTGTAAATTTGATAATTCATATTCAATATCCAGGTTTCCTTTACTAAATATTCAATACCCTTTAAAAATACAATGTATAATATTCAAAGGGCAATGTCAGTTCATTTATTTCAGTTTAAATATTCGCTTCCTTAAATTCAGTGGCTCAAATTCGACTGTTTGAACTACAGGAAAAGCAATAGATTGCGGATTGAAGATCACGCAGCTGCTTTTTCACCAGCAGGTGGAGATGGAATAATTTAAGATTTTTAACCCAAGAAAAAAGCTAATAAAGACACGAAAGTAGCATTTAAAATTAATATCAATTAATCAATTAAATCAATTAAACCAGTCTTGGACATTATAAGTAATAAAATGAGTATGAGTAAATGAAGTAAATAATGTTTTGGCCATATATATTTGCCCTTATGTAACGGAAGCCAGCTGGTTATCGCGTAAACCTCACTCCTCTGATACAGCGACAGACGTTGTTCTGCAATCTTAGCCTACGTTTATATTCTTTAGCAGTCAATATAATACTTTACGTCTATTTAAGAATGAGTTAATAAAGATAGAAAATGTGTACATCATATTCATGAAAAGACTTTATGTTTATGGTTTTCTTTTTTAAAGTTTATGTGCATGTAACGCCACCGGTCCAAGCAGGGCGCAATACCGGCATGGGAGACAAATGCTCTAAGAAGGCTAAGATTGCTTTTATTTATTACTCTACTTGCTTTTCCTGCAGTTCCCGGATGTAATGTTGAGTTTTAACAGTCGAATTTGAGCCACTGAATTTATGGAAGCGAATATTTGAACTGAAATAAAATGAACTGAAATTGCCCTTTGAATATTATACATCGTATTTTTAAAGGGTATTGAATATTTATTAAGTGAAACCTGGAAATTGAATATGAATTATTGACTTTACAAGTACGAAAACCTGTTTGAAATATTTTTAGTAGAAATATTCACAGCTTAAATAAACAGATGTGTTAAATTTCAGGACCTAAAATACAAACCCTGCAATTCAAGTCATTAAAATGCAAGAACTTGTTAATTTGGTGTATTATTTTTAGTTTGTGCTATTCAACAAGCTTTTTAATTTAAAACTTTTTGGCATTGATTTTGTTCCATAAAAATGTCTCTGTCAATGTTTTCAAACTATTCTATTTGAGTTACCAAAGTCACACAAGTGGCAATTTCACATCAGTCACCTCCATAATGACACTTTTTCCTCATAAAATGCAAAAATATTAAATTAAATTAATCATTTTTGCTCTATAGTGAGCCAACTCTTATCCTTTTGATTATCATTATTTATTTTGGGTTGTGCAGTTTAATTCAGAGTTTCTACAAAGTATGTTGTAGACTGTAAACTCACACTTTTTTTGTCACATCCATAACGCATGTTTATTTCGCTCATTTAAAGTACAAAACATATTTACAGATTGATATTTTACTGATCTCATAACTCTGTGGTCAGTTATTTTGGAAAATATAAACAGATGTTTTAATATAATGTTAACATTTATTTTCTATATGAATTTATGTTTTAAATTTTTACTGCAAATGTCACATCCATAACGCTGGAATTGCTCATATATTATTATTTCTTATACATTATATTACTTCAAACTACTAAAACATCAATAAAAGTCACTTGGTTAAACTGTAGATCTGTTGGTGGATCGTGTGTTAGCTAACGAGGATCAGCTGCTATCAATCATAAGCTCGAGCTCCTCTCGAAATTAGTTTATAAATAAACTTCACTTCATTTTGACAGAAGAAATTAACATCTTGAAATGATCATGAATTGTTCACTGTTTGTTCTATGATTGTTCTAATCCTACAAAGCCGGTTTGGTAGGAATTCAGTCAGTGTTCTCCAATGACAGTGAGCTCTATGGAGAAATGCATCAAGTTACAGAAGGAGAAAAATGATCAGTCTTCATAATTACTTTGGGTCACAGGTTTCCTCATATACTTTGTGCTTGCTGACAGAATAAGGCCTGTTTACAAAAGACTGGGGCTGTGCAATATGCTCATATTTATCGTATGGACAAAATGAAAAGTCTTTCGTTACATACTGTATTATGCTCTATCGTTTATTTCGTGGTGTCACAAGTATTATAAGTGTAGTATTACACTTTACTAGGATGATTGATTTTATGATTAATGTTATAAACCATAAATATGCAAAAAAGCTCATTTACAAACACAAACACTACTATTCAGAATGACCTTTTAATTATATTGATCACGTGATCCTATTCAGAATGCACCCTTCCTTTTTGGAGTACACAAAACCTGACAAAAGTATTGTCGCCTATACAAATTAAACAATAACTTGACTTCTAGTTGGTCATTTTGTATCAAAAGTGGCTTATAAGAAAGGCAAAGGCCTCTAGATTACACCTATTTTACCAAAATAAAATATGATCATGTCTTGATTTTTTATTATTTTATCAGGACAGTAAGGTCTGACTTTGCTTAGACGAAAGTCTTGTCACGTTATAATGTCCATTATTGTTGTGATTGGAAGTGATACAAACAACTGAAGTAGGATCCAAATGCAGGTTTAATCGGTGGTCAGGCAAGCGATGGTCAACACAGGTACAAACAGGCATATGGAGACAATCCAGAAACACAGTCGAATACAGGCAAGAGGTCAGAAAGGCAGGCGGCAGGCAAAGACAATGAGACTAACAAGGCTAACGGTCGGTACACGGGATAACAAGACTGGTAAATGCGTTGTAATGCTACTGAGAAAGATAACAGTGAACAATACTCGGCTAACTGAATGGGTTCATGAGTGGTTTAAGTATGGTGTGTTATCAGTCTTTGACAAGGTTCAGCTGGTGAGTGTAATCAAGCGAGATGAATGAGCAGGCGTGCTTGTCTGGAAGTGCATGTATGAATATGTAGTCCTGGGAAATGCGGAAGTGAAGTTCATGATAATAGTGGAAACCAGCAAACATAATAAACATAATAAACACTATTAACTTAAATTGGGGCGAGGCAGTGGCGCAGTGGGTAGTGCTGTCGCCTCACAGCAAGAACATCGCTGGGTCGCGGGTTCGAGCCTCAGCTCAGTTGGCGTTTCTGTGTGGAGTTTGCATGTTGTCCCTGCGATCGCGTGGGTTACCTCCGGGTGCTCCGGTTTCCACCACAGTCCAAAGACATGTGGTACAGGTGAATTGTGTAGGCTGAATTGTCCGTAATGTATAAGAGTGTGTGTGTGCATGTTTCCCAGAGATGGGTTGCGGCTGGAAGGGCATCCGCGGTGTGAAAACGTGCAGGTTAAGTTGGTGGTTCATTCCGCTGTGGCGACCCCAGATTAATAAAAGGACTAAGCCGACAAGAAAATTAACAAATTAATTTTAATTGCATTATTTTAATAACATTTAACAGTTATTCAGCCATCTATTTTTGCATTTCTGTAAGCCAGACTCGCAGACACAGACGGGCTTGTTTATGAACTTGTCTGAGACCGGGTGGTCTGACAGAGGATCTGTGGGGAATCATGTCTGACCCGTCTCTGATCTCCAGACGGAGACATCAGGAGAAGAGCAGTTAAACCGGTTAGCAGATATTCAGCCGGCGGATTAGAGTACAAACAGGAGAGATGCTATCCAGAACACTCACGGCTCGAGTTCAATCATGACAAGAGCAACACTGATAAAAATATCCCGGTAACACTTTCTATTAGGGCTGCACGATATTGGAAAAATCTGACATTGCAATATTTAGTTTTTTTCTGCGATGTACATTGCGATATCAATCCTTAAATAGCTTGATTTGAAAAACTAATTAACATATGAATGGGTTAGGATTCTGTATGGGATTGAATCATGTATAAAATATATTAGACAAATTACAAGCAAATACAATATGATTTGACTATTGTAAATGTGCACATTGCCATATCGATGTTGAAGCAAAATATTGTGTAGCCCTACTATCCATGAAGTTCATGCTTTAGCCTACATTAACATTACCTCGTTAGACATTTACTTTTGACATTTTTGCAATAAATAAATGATCGTTATTATTGGTCTGTCATGTTTTTTTTTTATTCTGTGCATTTCTTTTTAAATAAATGATTAGGTTTAGAGATATGAATTTGAAGATCAGTTAAATTGGCAATAAACCATTTATAAATGTACAATGACCCCACCTTTATATGGAAAAAGACTTACTACGCTTTTCTTAAAGCCATCACAGATGCGTTTATAAATATTAGTAACTATATTATTATGATTTATAAGGCATAACGCT